GGTAGGAAATAAGTACCCAAGTGGGATTTTTTCAATGAATTTGAAAAGACAACATTTACAGAAAAATAAAAATAAAATAGAAAGTATCGAAATAGAATATTTTTTTTTTACAAAAATGACGAAGGATTTGTCATCCAAATTTCTCTTTTGAAAAAAAAAATATCAAAAGATAAATCTAAAAGAAAAGATGAAAAACATTAAAATAAATATGCCAAAAAACAAAAGATGAAAAACAATAAAATAAATAAGCCAAAAAACAAAAAACAGAAATACTTAATAAAATTAAAGATAAAAGCACAAACGTGTAAAAGAACAAGACATTTTTGATAGATTATAAAAATAAAGGAAACAATTTATTAAAAATTATGGTGACTAAGGACGACAGGGGATTTCTTGGTAACAATTTATCAAAAACCAGCAGACATATATATATATATATATATATTATGTATGAATCTTCCCAAATCATTTGTTAAGAACATTAAATATGTCCCAAATGACTTGTAAAATCATACCTCTCTGTAACCAAGTACATCAAGAAGTAGAAAAGCACACGAAATGCTCTATAATAGGGCATTTCGAATATTCGCATTCAATCTTCACCATTTCTATCCAGATTAATTTCTTCAAGAATCACGATAAGGGCAGTTACAAATGCATAATCCACGTACGGATAAACAGTCACCCCAAATGTATCTTGCCCCAGCAGAACACTCTGCACATTGTGCTTTTTATGCATCTGCATTTAATTTAATCCCATCGAATTAATCAAATTTGCATTGCAAAAGAAAACCTTGATGGGCTTTTCCATTTACGAAAGAAGTTAGAAAACCGGAAAAGTGCTATGGGGGAACCTTACTTGGGCAATGATACTGTTAGAGTCGCCGGAGTATATAACACATGACCTCTCGAAATAGCTGCCCGAAATTCTGAAGTCACAAACATCTTCTGACGTGTTAGCAGCCATGTACACGTGGAGCTTCGTTTTTAACTGAATAATCGAAGACTTTCTGACGCTAAAGAGAAGGTCTTTTGGCTCTGTGCTCTCGCCCCGGAAAACTTGCCACCTTCGATGTGCTGACAAGATCTTGAAATAACAAAATATCAAAATGGGACATTTAACGAAAAAAAACTACGAAAAATACCTCATAAGTTATATAGACATAAGGGAGCAATATACAAAAATGAAAACGAAGATAATCAGATTCTTGTGCAGTTATGCTAAACTGAACGGTTAGACAACCTAACAACAACATTTATGTGAAAACCAAATTTGGATTGGAATCGGAAAGATGTTGAATCATTTGAAAAACCGCCTTTTGACGACACAAACGATGCGCTAAGGCAATATATGCTTTCGGACTTAAATTGNNAAAACATCTCTTTGAATACAAATAAAATAAGAAGCCTAGAGTTTCATTCAGAAATTTTAACAAACACCTTCCATACACAACGCACAACACATATCTCCTCATCAGCGATCAATCGAGAGAATAAGGAATATAATCACCTTTTGCTGGAACGTGATGACAGGGTTTCCGAAGGCGTCAAGGAGGACCCGGCGGTCGCGGAGGCTGAATAGTTTCCCTCTGACGGTGAACATGACGTTGCCGTTGATGTCTGTAACTCCGAAATTCCCCTCCGAAAAGCTCAGCTTCTTCTGGACGGTGAGATCGACGGGGTACCCCACGCAGAAATGTGGGCCGAGGACGTTCACGGCCACCGGAGCCTGCATCGGCGGCGGCGGTGCCGGAGCCTGCGGATAGCTCATGCCGGCAATCGTAAAATCTGTTGATTCATGAGTAGCTTTGCTCCGCCAAGCATGGATTTTTCCTTTTCTTTTTATATAGGGTTATGGTGGAATTATTTTTGGGGGTTAAATGGGTGATCGGCCGTGAAAAATACATTGTCGTCGCGTCGTCCGATTTCAACTGAAAATGCGAAAACAAGGTGAAACTGATATGTGGCGGTTAATCTTGTTTTCGTACCTTGTAAGGCACAAACTTATCAAGTTAATTTTAAACTTTTAATAAATATATGTATATATATTATATAAAATATCACCAAAAATATTTTTATATATATTTACAATTTCTTTTTTATCTTAATCAAACAACTTTAACAATCTTGTTTACTAAATTATTCGAACATGAACGAGGTACAACTCTAACAAACAATTCCACGAACGATCTCGAAACACAAATTATAGCTCGAATAATAAACGAACGACGCTCGAACGTGAAGTCGTAAACAAACACAAGCTCGTAACGTTCAAGTTCGACTCCTTTGGTTCGATTACAACAATATGTGACATTTCAATTTTAAAAATATGCCTAATTGTTGAAAGAGTATGTCTAGTTCGGCCTAACAGGCAACAACAATTAAAATATGCTAATTTAGATTTTTTCAATGTAATTATGTTCCAATGGCAATTTACATATTAGAACAATAGACATACATGAGATTCCATAATATACAACCAAAGTAGAGTAGAGAAAAGAGTTTTTAACATGTATAAAGCTCATCATCATCATCATATCCAACAATAAGTTGAAACACAGATCAAACAAGAAAGAGAAAGGCACAATCATTTTTTGGCCTACTTAAGGACCTTAAGGTCCCCCTGAATTTCCTCGACGGACGGTGTTGATTTCCTCAAGAAGCACGACGAGAACAACCACAAAGGCATAATCAATATTCGGGTACACAGTCACACTAAACGAGTCTTTCCCCGTTAGAATACATCGCGCATTGCAGTTTTTCTTCATCTGCGCAATGTTTTTTTTCTTAGCATTTTCAATATGTATATGTATATGTACGCGCGTGTTATATGTGTATGCAATTTATATACATACCTGAGCAATTATATTGTTGGAGTTTCCGAGGTACACAACGCACGACCTCTCGAACCAGCTGCTTTCGATTTTGAAGTCGCATAATTCCTCTGCCGTATTTGAAGCCAAGAACACGTGGAGCTTTGTTTTCATTTGCAGGATTGAAGGTCTCTTAACACTGAAAAGTAGATCATTTGCTTTTGTACTCTCTCCTCTAAACACTTGCCATATTCCATGTGCTGAAAATATCAACAAATTCATTAAAAAAAAAAAAAGAAAAAAGAAAAAAAAGAGTGAAACATGATTAATTTTAAGTAATATGATCAATAGTAAGGTACGTATACTTTAGAGCAATTTTCAATTAGCAATTTCTTTCATTTTCATCAAGATCAAACCAACATCTGTCATACGTAGTCAAACAATTTGGAGTTAAACCAATTCACAAAGTTAACTATAGTCTCTTCCTATATATAAATGCAAAGTTTGTCGAACATATATGTTAACATCTGATGCTTTATGTGCTATGTGTCCATTTCTGATATTTAACAGCATTGAACTTTAATATAAAATAAATTCTAATAGTACCAAAAGAAAAAAAAAAAAGATATATAGCTCGGATTATTACCTTCCGGTGGAAAGTGAGGATCGTTTTTCCGACAGCATCAACGAGGGTATGCTGATCGTGGAGGCAGAACAACTTCCCGTTTGATAGGGATTATAATACCGACTCGGTCTAACCGGACAAAGACCCGTGAAATTGAAGCCAAACAAGCCTAATGGTCTATTGGTCCAATGACCTACTGGTCTAATGGCCTACTGGTCCAATAGCTTACTGGTCCAATGGCCTACTGGTCCAATGACCTACGGGTCTAATGGTCTACTGGTCCAATGACCTACTGGTCCAACGGCCTACTGGTCCAATGACCTACTGGTCTAATGGTCTAATGGTCTAATTGTCTACTGGTCCAATGGCCTACTGGCCTAATGGTATAATGGTCCAACGGCCTACGGGTCCAATGACCAACTGGTCTAATGGTCTAATAGTTCAACGACCTACTGGTCCAATGACCTACTGGTCTAATGGTTGAGCGTAGACCATGCATTGACCCGCTCAAGTGTCGACCGGACCTAAGGGTCGATTGGACCAAGGTGTCGACTTCGACCATAGCGTCGACTCGTCGATTGGCCCAAGAAGTCGACCCCCAACCACAGTATCGACCGGCGAAGGGGCTTGGGGTCGAGCCTCGGCCCTCGAAGTCATCATACGCCATGTGCTCGGTCAGTGAATGTCTAAGAATTTATGGTCCGGAGGACCGTACAGTCAGTTACTATATAAGAGGTAAATTGACAGACGGAAGGTAACATGAACTCATTATTTCACTACAATAGTTATTATGCATTCTCTCGCTCTCTCTCTCTCTCTATCTTTCTCTTTTGATTGCGGGATTTTGACTTGGGCGTCGGAGGGTTTGCGTCGGAGCAATTCCGGCGCTTTGCAGGTACCAGCGAACCCGAGTGCATGGACTGGACCACACCCACCGACCTACCATTCAAACCGGAGAGGACCTGGCGAGAAACCGGAGTTACTCGCCTTGGACCTTATCAAATTGGACCTTATCACCGTTGACTTTGAACATTAAGTTGCCGTTGGCATCTTTCACCTCAAAGTTTCCCTTCGATAAAGTCAACATCTTGCGCACGATGGTCAGGTCAACTGGGTAACTCAAGCAGTATTGCTGGTCGATCACCGCCGTTGACGGTGGGCCGGACCTCTGCGCCGCCGCTGGATAGCTCTCGCCGTACATAAACGCTGTTTTGTTTCAGAAATTTACTGTTTTTGAGCCAGAAGCCAAGCGACTAATAAAGTCCCAATAGATGTCCTATTTATATGCGGTCCAGTCAACCCTCTGCCATTGACTGATTGATTTAATAATATTTAGTGGTTGAATGATTAATTTGAACACCAAATGTTACTTGGCAAACAAAGTAATCGAGCTAATTAGCTAATTGCGTCAATTTGCAAATTAACTAATTGCGTCAATTGATAGTGAATAATAAGTAATAGAGCTCAAGCTCGACTCGTTTAATAAAATTATTTAGTTGAATTCGATTTTTAATAAACCGGATTATGTATAATTATATTTTGAAAAAACATCTTTTTGAGTTTTATTGAGTCGAGCTCATTTTACTAAATGAGATTTAAACAAGCTTCAGTTGTGGTATAACTTATATCATATAACTATTTGTTAAGATAGAGTTTAGTTATTTTGTTAAGATATATTTGGTTTGATATGATCTTGATTTGGTAGTAGTTATTTTGGTAATTAGATATTTGATTTGATTTAATTTTGATTTAATTTGATTTTGATTTTTTTTTTATCTCTTGCAACATCTATATATTGGATGTAATCTCATTATTACAACCAACGGAAAATACATATCTTTCTCTTCTCTACTCTATGTATTCTCTTCTAGTTTTATCATGGTATCAGAGCATGCATAGAGTAGAGAAGAGAAAGATATGTATTTTCCATTGATTGTAATAATGAGATTACATCCAATATATAGCAAGAGATAAAAAACAAATCAAAATCAAATCAAATCAAAAATCTAATTACCAAAATAACTACTACCAAATCAAGATCATATCAAATCAAATATATCTTAACAAAATAACTAAACTCTATTTTAACACCCCCTCTCAAGTTGGTGCATGAAGATATCGAATTCCCAACCTGCTTAAAAATTTCGAGAAATCCTGGCCACCCAATGCTTTGGTGAAGATGTCTGCTAGCAGAACTTTGGTAGAAACATAATCAGGAGAAGGATTGAAGGACTGAAGGATAAAGGACCAAAGGAACAGAGGACCGAAGGGCTTGATCAATTGTATTTAATATCCAAAGGACCGAAGGACCGAAGGATTGAAGGACTGAAAGACTAAGGACAAAGGACTTGATTAGTTGTATTTAATATCCGAAGGACCAAAGGACCGAAGGAATGAAGGACTAAAGGACAAAGGACAAAGGACAAAGGACTTGATCAATTGTATTTAATCATCTAAGAACCCATCTAATAGAGGAGGAATTGAACCTTCTAAGAACCATTTTTTTTTTCGTGCCTGGAGAGCAGTCCGGAGAGAAGAAAACATGACTGAAGAGAAAAAAAGAAAAAATATATTAATCAGAACAGCGATGGTGAAAAACCATGTCTCTGATACCATGCTAAAACTATGAGAGAATGCATAGAGTAGAGAAGAGAAAGATATGTATTTTACATTGATTGTAATAATGAGATTACATCCAATATATAGATGTTGCAAGAGATCAAAAACAAATCAAATCAAATCAAATATCTAATTACCAAAATAACTACTACCAAATCAAGATCATATCAAACCAAATATATCTTAACAAAATAACTAAACTCTATCTTAACACTATTTGAAATATAAATATATTAATTGATAACTAATTTTATTTTTTTAATTAATATTAAAAAATAATTTTATTATTGTTATAAAGATAAATATAATTTATTTTTTTATACATACAATATGGATGTAGGTCGAAGCTCATCAAGAGATGATTAATTTAATATATCATATATTTAAAATTGATAAAAAATATAAAAATTATTAGCTTTTTAAATACATTTACAATTCAATAGTTATAATAAGAAATGATATTGAAATGCAATTAATACATGTAATATGACTATAAATAATTAACATGTTTATGGATAATTCGGACAGGATCTCGAAACATGCGAGTTTTACTACTTAGACTCAGCACGTTCTGAATTAATATATAGGGAATGTGTTGTTGACATCTATGATATTGATTTAATTAATGTTTCCACCCACAAAGTTTGATTAACCAAATTTAATTATTTTCGTTTTCGTACTCGGTTTTACGGCAAACTTATTGAAGGGTGACATGGTCTATTTCCCCGAGTGTGGAGCCGCGTGTGCTAGTTGTTTGACTTTTTTTTCCTTTGTTACAGGTAAAATATTGGATATGCCAGATATTTTTAATCTTTTTTAGTATTTTGTTTGTTTTACATAATATTAAAAGTTTTACCCTTAATGTTAATATGTTTACAATTACTTAATTGTAGTATTAACAAAATTTTATTTTATACGTTATTTTTACTATAACAATAAATTTAATTTGTAATTAATATCGGTACAATAAATGGTAAAATCCGTTGAAACGTATGTGTATCAATTGCTTGTTCAGTATAATTATTGATATGGTACTTAAAACAGTTTATTCTCTCCATTTACACATTACTAGTTAATAACTAAATATTGTTAAACAATTCTTTATATACAATGTTTGTGGTTTTTCTATCAACAGAATTTCCATCACTACAAATCATATCTTCAAATTAAGACATATAATGGTTTTAATTGTTTAAATAATTATTGTATTTTGTACTATAGATCATATAGGAAATTTTAAAAAAAAAATACTAAAAAAATACCAGCAAAATATTACAAAATAAATAATTGTATTTGGTTGATAAATAATGATATGTGCCAAATATTTAAGACATTTGAACAAAATGACAATTTTTGGGCCATAAAGAAATATATTGATTGATTGATAAAAAAAGCCCAAATTAGAAGTCCACATAATTTTTTAGGGTAGCCAAAATCAAATATAAAACATGTCAATGGTAACATGACTATAAATATATACATACTCCTTGAGAGTGATGTAAGCCATTTTTTCTTGTTTGATGTCGGCGCTTGTCTCGTTATTCACTCTGTCTGAAACCCTAATTCTTAACCCGATATTACGACAAACTCAGCGAGATTCAATACAAAACAACTGCTTTACCGGAGATTTTCTCCCGGTAAAGGCTTAAAAAAAAAAAAAAAAAAAAGACATCCGAGAAATGTTGTTTTTGTGACCAACAGTAGTGATCGAAAAATAAAATATTCGTCCTGATTTCTTAATCTGTGTTGCTAAATCTTAACAGGTCGGTCAAAATATTTTTTGTTAAACGTAGTTTTTATTTTTTATTATTTTCAATGATCTGTGTCGTTTTTCGAAATTCTTTGTGAATAAGCTTCAAGATATATCATATTTTATACATAATTCGAAACTATTTAGATGTTTTTCAAAATCGTTTTTCGAAGAGAACATGACATTGGTCGAACTTTTTCAAACTTTTATGTATTTTGTTCATGGTTTGAAAAAATATGTAAGTTTCTAACAGATCTGTTCAGCTCTACTAACAAATATATAGGTAAGTTTATAACATATCTATTCATAACATACATATGTAACTTTTATGTATTTTGTTCAGATTTTGAAAACTAAATAGTTCAATTCTTTGTCGTCTTTCTCATCATATCAGTAAGTGAAGCTTTGCTAACACTTGTTCAAAATCGCTTTTCGAAGTTGTTCAAAGTCTTTTGCCGAAGTTTTTCAAATTTTTTAGTATTTTTTTCAAAATTTGGAAATATTAGGTAAGTTTGTAACGAATCTGTTTAGATATATTTATCGCATATTAGAAATTTCTTGTTTAATGTTTAAAAGAATTTGTAGAAATTTTTATTTTTAAAACTTTTACGCAAAAAAATCGATTTTAATATAAAGGCAGATGTCTTGGTAAAAGTTGAATGTGTTGATAATGATAGGGAAATCAAATTATTTTTCTTTCTATATTTTTAAAACTTTCCACATAATTTGTTGTGTTTTTAATTTTGATTTTTTCATATAGATTTGACTTTATTTTGTTGATTATTAATTATGCTTGATATTTCTATATTATGCAACAATCTGCCATTACATACAATGCCTTGTCATTTCTCATTCTTTGACTTTGCCAATTTCCGTTTAATATGACTTTTCTGTTGCTGAAAGTATGTTTTTAATGCATTAAAATATTGATGTTTTGGATATGTTTTGATGCTATAATCATGCAGAAATTTGTCCCGCCACTTTTTCCTTAAAGAGAAATTGTTTAATGAAAATTAATCATATTTATATTTATAATTGTGAAATAATATTTTTTTTTCACGGCCAACAGTTATTTTTTTTTAATGAAAAATATGAGACAATTTATTCAACACACTTTTTAATTTATAAAAAAAAATATTGATTGCGATAATCAAATATGCAGAAATCATGCATTTTATTGAATAGTAGTAATATAAAATATTTTATTATTACTACCAAATAGAAAGTCAAAGATAGTTAATTTTGCACTATTAGTTATGATCATATGGAATTTTTTTTATACATATGTTTGTTCAATGAACTTTTTAAATGATAATATTGACAATATAGACTTCGCCATAATAATTATATAGACTGTGTTATAGTAATAATTTATTTATTTAATTCATTAACTTTTTTTCAATTCATCTTATTATGCGTATAGTCTAAGTTTATAAATTATATGTCATTTCAATGTATCTATACTACTAATTTATAAGGTTTTACCATTTGGGGAGCTAAATTTTTAATTTTAATTATGAAACTAATCTTTCTTATCATTTTGTAGTTATATGTTTGATTGAGTATGGCTGGAAATTAAATTAAAAAAAAATAATTTAATTTTTTATATTGTAATGTAACATGATATATATTAATGTTTGTTATTAATACATTTATTAATATTTCTTATTACTTTAATTGCTTATTCAATTCATAATGAAATAAAAAATAATAATATATAGTTTCTGCACAACAATAATGACTGTCACGTTTATATATATAAATGAGAATAAGAAACATAAATGTGGGATTAACTAAAAGAAATTTTTTTAATTTAGTCATTAACTAATTAA